AAATGAATGGTTCAAGTAGATATATATATATATATATATAATCTTGAATTACTATATTAATGTAAGGTGAAACAAATAGTGATGAAATTGAAACATCAGAATCCAAAAACACTCAAATAATGAATTTCGTTAGATTGTTCTAAAGGGCAATAATTAACTTGCTGATGGGCCCTTTATTTAAAGAATATAGTATATTTTTAAAGTTGCATAATGCATTCAGTTTAGCATGAATCTAAAAATCCGGGAAAGCAAAACAAGAGAGAAAAATGTTTATGAAACCCGAAACATTCGTTTGTGCTTGTTTTTACTACAGTATACGATTTGTTTTTCGTTCTAAAAAAAAAAAGAAAGGAAATTAAAAATTTAAACAAAAGTATGAAAATGTTTCCTTTATGGTTTTCACTCAGAAAAGCACTGCGCCGAACATGCAAAATGCGTAGTGTAAACTGTGAATACGAGATCACTGGCAAACTTTCATAAACAATTTTACATCAAGCTTAATATTTTACAAGTATTAAATCTAAAACTGTATTTAAAATAAAAGATAGAAATTCAACTAATATTTCAGAATTATTAGATGAAGAATATTCATTTAAATATAACTATTAATTTAAAGAAATGGAAAATCAGAAAACTGTATGTAAATGCACTAAGAAATAAAGTATGGCCAAAACTACCAGAATACGGTAAAATTTTCCGCACTCTTGGCTCGATGGGAAATCCTAAAAAAAAAAAAAACTCGCATAAAAACCATTTGTTTGGTTAAACTTACTTTTGAGATTTGCATTTTTTTCTAAATGTGTGGTAATATAACTATGATTTAATAACCAAACTCTCTGGTAAATGGTTTAAATACCGTGAGGTTCGTTTTATTAACTAGAGTTATGTTTTATTGCCTAGAGTATTATTTAAATTTGACATGGAAATTTAAATTTAACATAGAAAAAATATAATAAAAGAATGACAGTATTCAATTTTTGATTTAAAAAAATTGATTAAAATTCTAAAATTACGAGAAATTTGCAATAAAGTTTAGTTTTGAAAATATTAATTCGCTTCTTTTAGTAATTAAAAATTACCACTACCTACAGTTTGATCCATTTAATGATTAACTGTGGCCAATAGCAACAATTTGGTCTTTTTAATAGTTGTCAATGGCCAGTACCGGCAATTTGGTCCTTATAGAGAATCGAGTTAATCCTATTAATGGTATTTAACTAGATTGTTCTAATAAAACAGTAATTAAAATTCACAAATTAATATACTTCACTAGTTTAAAATTGCATAAAAGTTTCGATACTATATTGAATCATCGTATTCAGTGCAGAAAAACGGAGGAAGGTTTTATTCTTTTAGGGTGATGATGGAATGAAGCATCTAAAATTTTATGCAATTTTAAAGCATTTAAGTTTATTTATTTACGAATTTCAGCGTTGCTCTTTATCTGCCACATAAAGTTTTTTTATCCATCCATTTTTTACCCTTCCAGCATATATAGTAAAACTTTTATTATCCATAACTGAGCCGCAAAATCAAAATTTAAATTTATTTTTGCGATATTATCGCATTGTAATGTATTTTTTAATTGTTAAATCTGTTTAAGTTGAGCATTATACATTTTAGAATAATTTTTAAGTACAAAAGTTAAAATTTTTAAGTACAAAAAATATAAATATTTTTAAATCATTTATTTACATTTCGAATAGTTTTCGATGATAATTGAAATTTTTTCTAATATGTTCCGAATTAAAAAATAAGAGTAAATCAACAAAGGACAGATAATAGAGGTTTCCATCATTGATTTTGATCTTGGATGTCAAATTAAATCTAATTAGTAAAATCTAAAAAATGTAATCAATTGATTTAAAAAAATTCATTGATTACCCTTAAGGTTTTGAAATGATTAGCAGCACGAAATAACTTTTATCTAAAATAATAAAATATTTCACTTTTTGGTTTAAAGTAATATTTTATAAAATGCTAATTTACTAAAAAACAAGCAAAGCTGCATTTTTTTTTGAAGCATACGTAAATAATGATAAAACTTGCAAATGATAAATAGGGATTGAAAGCTTTTCCTAAAATTTATATTTGTACTTGATTTCACCATTTAATAATATGATACAGTTTTTTGGTCAGTAAATATAAAAATATCGCATTTTTGAGCCTAAAAGTTACACAATGAGAAAAAAAATAGTCAAAACTACCAGAATATGATAAAATGTATCTGTCTCTATGGGAACACCCAAAATCTCGGTAAATTTGACGAAACACTTTGGTAATGATTTTGATAATGTTAGCAATACAATAAAGTTTTATAATATCAAATAAAATTTGGTAAATGCAGTAGAATTTGGTAATTTTATAATGATAACTTGGAGCATGGCATAAGAAATCTTCATTCTGTTAAATTTACTTTTCAAATTTGTATTTTTTATTAAATGTGGGGTAATAAGAACTATAATTTTGCAAACCATAACTTTTGTTAAATCGTTACCATATAAAAGAAAAAATTGCCAAATGAATGGTTCAAGTAGCATAGATTTTTGTTTTACTGACCAAACTTTTTATTTATTTTTTTTTTACCAAAAATGTCATGACCATACGATACGGTAATATTAAACGAATTTTTTTTTCTACGTGTAATTAAGCCATGAATTTAGAAAGGTATTTTCATCAGTATTATGATTCAAACAAATGGATTGTAATTCCTTGTATACCATTTGTATAATCTTCTACTGAAAAAAATACAGAGAGGGCCAAAAAGTTAGTGATTCAATTTTGTACTTCTGCTACAATTGGGCTAATTACATAAGAATATAAATTTAAATATGCTTAAATTTCGATAAATAAAATTATCTAACAGTAATTTAATAACTTGAAAAATAATCAGTGTTTATCTCTTAACCCATCAATATTTAATTTAGAAAATAGATTTAAAACAAAAAAAAAATTTTTATTCTGTTCGTTTTTATTTTCAAAAAAAAAAAAAAAAAAAAAAAAAAAAAAAAAAAAAAAAAAAAACATGATTTTTTTAACACAATTTTTTAAAATGTAATAAGAGCAGTTAACTCAGGTAAAATTTTGAGAAATTACCTTTACATTTATGAAAAAAACAAAGAAGAATTGCTTACAAAACAGTAACATAATTTTTTTTTCCTTTTTTTTTTGTTGTTGCTTAAAACTGAAGGAAAATGGCAGAAAAATTTTCAAAATTGGAAAATTTTATGAATGTATCATCAATACCATTTTTGTTTAATAATCACATTTTTGCTTCATTATTATATTTTATTAAAAATTTTGCTTGTTGTTTTCCTCAAAATATTGTAAATATAAATACATAATCAATTGTGTTTTTCACTATGCAGCATTTAAAATATTTAATTTCATTTTATCATACATTTCATGCACTTATATTACATTAATAATGCATTATGAATATAAAATTTTTAAGAGATTTCATTAAGGAATTTTAAGACCTTAGATTTGTGTACGTAGTTTGTTTACTTTGTTCATGTTTAAAATATGTTTAAAACACGTTAAATTAAAAACAGCAGATTAAGACTTTGTAGATATTTTTTCTCTTACTTGAATTACATTAAAAACGTTACTCTTATTATTAAACAAAAATAAAATTTTTAAATAGGGAGGCAGTTTCAAATAATAAAAAATTTCAAAATAAATACAAAACATGGAAAAGTAAACGCTTAAAAATGTTTCAGACCATAATATTATATTTCATTTATTTAAAAAAAATTTTAGCATTTAAAATCAACATTTAAAGTGCATAACGTTGAAATATTTTACAGAATTTAACAAAAATGCGCAATATTCACAAGAAAAAGAGGAAGAAAAAGAAGGAAATAAAAGAAAAGCAATGTTAGTGAAATTTTGAAAAGTGCGATAGGATTTACAAAAATTCTGTAAAAAATTTTCTTCCTGACACAAGCCTAGAAAACTAAATTGAATCATTAAAAAGTATAACATTTGACTCATTATCAATTCGGTAAACTTAGAAAATTTTCAATGAATTTTATTCATGGTCTGAATTCTAGAAAAATTTTAGTTTTATAAGCTTTTGAAATTCAACTGTTTAAGCAATTCGGTGTACCAATAAAAAAAATATACATTCATAAATTTTTATTTAGAATTTAGCTGTTTCTTCTTGTTTTGAGATATTTAACTTCTTGTTTTGAGATAATCCACAAACATTGCATAAAAAAAATTACTAATGTTTTAAATTTGAATTTGGGAATCTTGTCTATTAACAAAAAAGAGAACAGAAATTGGCTTTATATGCTTGAGTCCTTTGGTAAATTATAAATTTCTACAACATTACAATATATACAAATTAATTATATAACTACCGATTTATGTTATCAAACCTGTATTTGCAAGTCCTAAAATGCTTACGAACATAACGTAATCTCTCTTTAAGAGTTTTTAAACTTCTTTCTGGTAAGAAAGGTAACCAATCAGACATACCTGGATCTCTCTCCCCAAATGATGTTTGTAGCAGCATCTCTAAGTTACCTTCATGGAGTCTATCAACAGCTTCAATAGTTTCTTTTTTAAATATGCACAGGCTGTCTAAAAGTGATTTGTGAAAATGGTCATATTTTTCGAGCAGTCTGTATCCATGCAACAGACCTGACTCGTTGTCCAAGAACAGCAGAAGACCATCAGGAGTCTGGAACAAATTGTGCGTGGGCTGATTCATCATCTCAGGATTCCAACGCTCGTTGTACATATTGTTCACAACTCTGTCCAAATTGCCGGTCAGGTAATCGAACACAATCAAATCTGACCACTGTACAAGCATAGAGATGTCTTTCGCGGTTAGATTGAAGACGTCTTCGGTGATAGGATGAAGACGTCGCGTTTCTGTCAAACGAAAATGCCTAGGTATAAAGGCAGGCTGGAGATCTTCCACAAATTGAGTTAGCACAACTGGTCTTTCATAGTTCCATTGTGCTAGTGCTATTTGAGAAGCAGCTGATGACCACCTTTTTGTCCGACCGTCCACTACAGCCAGTGCAGAAGGTGCCAAATTCCTGATGCCCAAAAGGCGGCCTAAATAAAACGAGAAAATCTCTCCCTGGATTTGGTCGTTATTGTGTCTATAACGACAGCATGACTTACCACCTTCAGCAAGTGTCACGAGTCTGTTTTGCATCCTTCCACATCCTTCTTCAACTTTAAGGACTTCAGTAGAATTAAGGAACCGTTTCCATAATTTGGTGTCATAATCATCGAATCCTTTTGGTACGAATCGCTCAGAAAGAGGAGTCCAAAACACACCATCCACCACATCGTCAACAGGATAAACTTTGGAGGCTTTTTCCAGTGAATTTTTTCGACGTCTGTTATTAAAAAACAAATCAATTGTAGGCTCTATTTTTCTAATGGGTTTCACAAGTAAACTGGAAAACATTGGGAGATCTTTCACCGTCGAATGTTTGGAAATTTTATTCCTTGGAGAACCAGGACCGGATTTTTCAGTTATAGTCTGCAGAGATTTTGACGGCCCGGCGGGGTGCCTGAGTAGGGAGGAGGTAGCCTCCGATGTTAAGTTGCCTCCGGCGACAATCATAGTTTTGATGCCGGCGAACTGTTGCCCTCGCCCTGCAACCAACGGGCGGCGCGCCGATAAATCTGGGGTGTCATTCCCCACATAACCTTTTCCGTCATTTATCAAGGAGCTTAGGGTTCGTTCTGGAATGTTATTCCGGAATGACGAATCAACGTAAATTGGAAGGAACAAAAAACTATATGTGATCGGTATTCCAATTAAAAACCCAGCAATAAATGATACAGAAATGATATAAGTTCTATCAATTTTTTTAGGACTTCCTGAACTCGGAACAATTGTTGAAACTTTCATTTTTAAAGGAGGGATAATCTCGATCTGGCCTGAATGTTTTTTTGACGAATAATCCATGATTCTAAAACATAAAAGAATTTTGCATCATCTGAGACAATCTCTCGTCGAAGTTTTAACAAATGCATAAATAGTATCTCGACGAATTTAATAAATGTGCCGGTCACTAAATCCAATGAAATTTAAATGCAACATTTCTACTGTTGGTAAATATCACGACAGTTATTCTAGGAAAATAATTCAATTATAAATCCTTTAAAGAAAGAACATCTAATCATAATTAAGAATAAATTCCAAACAGACGATAAACAAGCAGACGAATTCCACAATGCTCCTCTCTTCTCGAGAGTTTGCCACAGAATGATGCCTGGTTGATCTGTCATTTCTTGAAATCACGTGCCTCCTCTCGTCAGTTTTCGTTTAGGGGATGGGGGAGAAAAGATAGAATCTTTTTCAGAATGAGAAACGAAGAAGGGGTGTCGAGTGGGAGGTACAGAATCCACCGCACCTGTGATGTTTACAATAACTCCCTCCACAACTCTGGAATTCTCAGGTGATGGGAAAGTGTCTAAAATATTTCATTCAAACGACTTTTTAACTCTGTCATTCTGCGTTTGGGATTGAAGCAACTTATTGTAATCTTAATGCAAACGATTTTTAAATCCAACAATAGAAATCATATTACTTAAGAAAACTTTTTCTCACTCTTATCAAATAAAAGTTCCATTATTTCTGATTTCCTCATTTAAAACCAAAATCACGGAGCAATTTATCAAAGGTAACCTGGAATAACGATGAAGAAAATCGAGAAAAAAAAATTTTCATTTTATCAGTTCTTCTGCTTCGAGACACGGTTGAATTACTTGTTACCAGATAAGCGACAAACTGAAGACTAGTTAGAACTGACAGCTTTTTCCTCAGTTTTGGAGCGAGTATTTTTGTTATAGGGTTTTACTTCTCTTTCATCTCTTGATTTTTCTCTACCTGGCGCCAAAAGTTCGCCAAATTTGGTGATTAATATCATGGGCGCCAAATAAGATTGCGGTTTGTCTGTCTACCTGTTCTGATAAAGATAGATCGTGTTGACTTTTGTTTTATTTGCGATTTTTTTTTTCCCCTCTGATTTTCGAGGAGGGGTAAAAAATGAGGCAGGCAAAAGAAAAAATTGTTCTTTAAACGTCTATTGAAAGGTTTTTATGGAATTTGAAATATGAAAATATGATGAATTGCAAATTTGAGCTGACTGAAGAAGGTCGAATGGCCTTTAAGAGCTAAAATTTATCAGCTGTATTCATTTTTCTTCTTCTTTTGTCTCATTAATTACTGCGCCAGTTTTTCTTTTTTATATCGAAACTTCATATGAAAGACTTTAAAATAATCATTCCTTTTTATTTCTATTGTTTTTGTTGGAATCACACATTGCTTCCAAATGAATGATTGTTTTAAACAATTGCTATTCTTCATTCAGCACTATAACATTAATAAACGCTACATCAAAATTGTTTTAAATATTTTAGGCATTAAACTACGACCCTATTACTGATTTCAATCTTAGATCCATATTTATTTATTATTTACCATTTGTTTTATTTATTTACTAGCTGAATACCCGTCCTTCGCACGGAGAGGGTAAAAAAATAAATAAAAAATCAATAAATCAGTATTAAGAAACACTACGAAATCATGCTCAAAACTGAAAATCATATACCGATCCAATTAAAGAACTTAGTGGAAAAACCAGGTAAGTTAAATTTTTAGGGGAATTAATGAATCAGAGAAAATAAAAAAGTGGTTGTATCAATACGGATATGTTCAATGTTGCAGAACTATTTTCGCCATCACCCAAATTTTAACATAACTAATTACATCAGTTTTCAGTATACTTGCATGATTTTTATTTCAAATTAGGCAGGGGTAAATAAATAAAAACAAAGAAATATATTTCCCTCTTTCTAATAAATTGGTGATAAAATAGTTCGGATGCAACTTTATTTCAGTTCTGAAAATGTGACTTACCTGGCTCTTCCACTAAGTTTTTCAATTAATATAGCTAAAATAATTAAAAAAAATTTTTATTTAATATTATTTGCTGCCCTTTTCGGTGGCTTTTCGTTATTGAAATAAGCAAAACCCGTTTTTAGTAGTTTATCCCATTAGAACAAAGATAAAATGTATTTAGTATAACTTCGCATGATGCTATTGCACTATAAAGTAATTTTCTAAGGTATATATCCCTTTCGAGAACCGTAAAACGCTTATTTCCAAAGTATCAGTGTGTACAACTAAGTACTGGTGCTGTCTTAATAATTACCAAATATATCCATAAGATATTTTATACCTTTATTAGTATATTTGGAACATATTACATAACCCTTCAACATTTTACTTTTGTGAAAAATACATTTATCAGTGACAGCCAACAAAAGCCGAAATTTTTTTTAAAAAAAAATAGAATTCTTATTAGAACTTGATAAGATTTTTGGAGAGTGGGCATTTCTCTATCTGACCTTTAATTTACTATTAAAATATTTATAAGTTGTTGAGAAATAAAATTCTTTATGTTCTAATCCATTAAAATATTAATACACTATCTTTGCTACCACTGAAAAAAATAATTTCTGCAATTGCGAAAAGCCCGTTGTAGATTTGTTATCAAAATTGCACCAATTACCATAATGCCAGTAGAACATATTAACGTCAGAAGTGCACAATAAGTAAGTGTCATCCGTAAATGGCGATTTTCAACGGTTTTCCTAAACGAATTTCCTATTAACCTTTTTTTTTTCCCCTAAATTCGCTTTTTAGCACATAGCTTGTTTTGTTTTATTTCAATTAATTCATATTATCAGTAGTAATTAAGCATTAGTGTCAATAATAACATCGTGATTTTTTACGGCTCCCCGAAATGGATAAGTATATAGTCTCCATTACTTATTCTTTTTAGTACGTAAGTTATCAATTAACATATTACTAACATTAATTAAGCATCATTGTCGTTAATGATAGTATGACGATTTCTTACTGTTCTTCAAGATCTAGGCAAATAAATACCTTTACACCATTTATTTTGCATTCTAGTAAATTAGCTTATTATTTTATTTCAATGTGCATATATTACCTTAATTAATTAATCATGATTGGCGTAATTAAGCATATTGACGTCAATTTCTTATGTTTCTCCTAAACGAATTAGTACCACTTTCCCATTAATTTTTGCTTTACATTACATAAATATTTTGTTTCTATTCTATTACCGTTGGTTTTAAATAAGTGATTTTTTAGAAACACGTTTAAAAGAATTAATATAAATAAAATAAAAATAAGTGGTATCAGACAAAGTTTAAATTTCGTGACGTAGACAACGTGTACTACCACGTATTGTTCATTAAATTCATCTGACATAGCGAATATAAAATAATTAAATATTTAAATAAGTGCAATTTACTATTTTTTGATTTAATAGAGCTATAAGCTAGCAATTATCACTGATCTATTATCACTGATGTATCTTTAAAATATGTGAAAATTGATTCGTTAAATTTAAAACAATGGCTAACGCTTAACCAATCAGAAAATTCCATTTCGTTTTTCTTTCATCCTATTGTAACGATTCGTCGTAGAATGTTCTACTGTCGACAATGACCTTCCTCGTGCTTGAAACTATCTGTATGCAAAATTTCATAACTCTCAGTTGGATGGTTTAGGAGTCTATAAAGGACACAGACAGACATTCATTTATAATATATATTGATTTCCAGGATCTTTTGAACAGCATTCCCCTTTCTAAACTAAAAGATGTCCTTCTGAATTATTACTATGATTTTAAAAATATCCTTTGTTGCGATTTTGATTATTGGGAAATTCTGATTAATTTTTGTCTTTTTAGTAATTATCTTTACAATGGAAGGGATATTTTTCTTCAAATTAATGGAATACCACAGGCATCTAATTATTCATCTTTCTTAGCTAACTTATTTTTGCATTATTATGAAAAAAATTATACTCTTAGTATTAAATTTGTTTTTAGATTTATTTATGATTTAATTATCTTTAATTTTTAAGATTATACTATGTTATTAAATAATATTTACCCCTAGGAATTAATCTTGCTTCGTAATCATGATGATAATATTAATTTCAAATTTTTGGATTTGGGTATTATAAAAGAAGATAACATCTGCTTTGTTAATTTTACGATAAAAGAAATGATTTTAATTTTAATATAAATAAACTAATAACTTGGAATTCTAATGTTTCTTGATACATCTATTTAAATACCACTTTTAATGAAATGAATAGAATTAAAATAATATGTAGTAATATTTATTTATCCAAAAAACAAATAGATAAACTCTTTCAAAATTTGATAAAAATAACAATGGATACCCAACTAAAGTAATTAAATTCAGCAAAAAATCATTGAGTTAATCGGATATTATTGTAGATATATTTACTAAAAATTTTCTTTGTTAATTTATATAATTTTTCCATGTGCAAATCCATTTCGGGCAAATCCATGGCAAAAATTATTTACTAAAAATTTTCTTTGTTAATTTACATAATTTTTTCATGTGCAAATCCATTTCGGGCAAATCCGTGGCTAAAATTATTTACTAAAAAAATTTATTTGTTAATTTATACAATTTTTCCATGTGCAAATCTATTTCGGGCAAATCCGTGGCTAAAATTATGTGCAAAGCAGGCAATTCGACTTTTTTTCTGTTTTCTATTTTATATTTTTTCTTAAATAAATATTTAGTTTCTAAAATTATTTACTGTCAACTTCTTTAAATTATCCAGTATAATATGACCTTGCGCACATCCATTTTTGGGCCCATCCTTGGTAACTAACAAATCAAACGCACTTCAGTAATACAGTAAGTGACTGTATTACTGAATACAAAATTCCTCTAGTTACGTTTTTATCTCAATTTATGCTTTTGTTTTCCTTTTTTGCAATCTGGCATTCTTGTTACGAAAATATTTTAAATCATTCTTGAAAAATTTCTCGTTCATGTAAGTTCATCTGAATTCGCTACTCGCTTTTCAGAATATGTTTTATGTTTCATTTTCTTTTTCTTTTATTTTCTGTTTTTACGTGTTGTTTTTATTTTATGTTATGTTATTTTACCTTATTGTGTTCTATTTTATTTGTTGTAATTTTTTTGTAAAATTTTTTGAGTGTTCATCATACTATTGTATTGATATATTTTGCTTTGGCTATATTGATACAATATTAGAAAGCACTCTTTTTTTACGGATATAATCGTGTGGGCTGATAAAAAGATTATATCTTTTATTTTCTGGACTTTTAAAAAAATATTTGTCCTTTCCGGTTTTTTTTTATTTTTATTATTATTTTCCCCTTTTTTCATTGTTCAGTAATTTTTCCTTGTTTTATCTACATTTTGAACTGAGTATCCTCTTCACTCGGCATTTAAATATTAAGTTTTAAAATTATGAATTTCACGTGTTTGAGGCTTTTCGTTTTCTATTTTGTTTGGTAGGAAAAATTGGAAAGACAAATTAAGACCTGATATCATTTATCAAAAACAGATACAAATTTTCAGGAAAACTTTTACCTATGCTTAACTTAGGCTTAATTGTCCTTTGAGATATGTTAAAAATTAGATGTTACGCTATTTAAAACGAAAGAAATTGTTTATTTTTTTTTATTTACGTATTCGTTTATTTATTTGTTTATTATATGTATTCATTTTAAAGAAAAATTTCTGAATCGAGCATAAAAATCTTCTTTTCGAATCCTACAAATATGTTATAAACTTGCAGTTCAATAACAACAATTGAAAAAATAAAAATCGCGTGTGAATAACAATGAATATTTCTTCTTCGAATGCACTACAGGCTAAACCGACTCAATAAGCTTCTTCCAATCCAACGGATGATCAACAAAGAATATTGAAC